CTCGAGAATTGGGAGTTCCTATCGTAATGCATGACTACTTAACAGGTGGATTCACTGCAAATACTAGCTTGGCTCATTATTGCCGAGATAATGGTCTACTTCTTCACATTCACCGTGCAATGCATGCCGTTATTGATAGACAGAAGAATCATGGTATGCACTTCCGTGTACTAGCTAAAGCGTTACGTCTGTCTGGTGGAGACCATATTCACGCTGGTACCGTAGTAGGTAAACTTGAAGGGGAAAGAGACATCACTTTAGGCTTTGTTGATTTACTACGTGATGATTTTGTTGAAAAAGATCGAAGCCGCGGTATTTATTTCACTCAAGATTGGGTCTCTTTACCAGGTGTTCTGCCAGTGGCTTCCGGTGGTATTCACGTTTGGCATATGCCTGCTCTAACCGAGATTTTTGGAGATGATTCTGTACTACAATTCGGCGGAGGAACTTTGGGGCACCCTTGGGGTAATGCACCAGGTGCCGTAGCTAACCGAGTAGCTCTAGAAGCATGTGTACAAGCTCGTAATGAGGGACGTGATCTTGCTCGTGAGGGTAATGAAATTATCCGTGAGGCTAGTAAATGGAGTCCTGAACTAGCTGCTGCTTGTGAAGTATGGAAGGCGATCAAATTCGAATTTGAGGCAGTAGATACTTTGTAATCCAGTAATTACTCTTCGTTCTTTTAATTGACTTTCAATTAAACAAAACTCGGCCCAATCTTTTACTAAAAGGATTGAGCCGAATACAATACAAAGATACTATTGTATATCTTTTTGCTAGATATACAAAATTCAAAATTGAAATAAAAATCTAAGACGAAACAACGTAAACATTTTTTTTGTTGTGCCGGATCCGCAATTAAGCCTATGGATCCTTAGAATTGGTGTAGTCGTTTAATATATTATATCCCGTAGCGTCGTTTCAGATCATGGATCGAGCCAAGTATCACAACTTCTTCTACCCATCCTGTATATTGTCCTTTTTGTTCTGTCTTGGAATACAAATTTTTTAGTAAACGAGATTTTACGAAAAAAGTTCTTCATATTCATAGGGAGAACAACGATTTTTTTTTATGTGAATTTGATATAACAGGTGAGAAACCGCTATTGTTGCAGCTGAACGTGAACAAGTTAGCTTTGACCATGAATACCTATTTTTAAAGGGCTCTAGACTTACCCTGAAAATGCCTATTTTTAAAGGGCTCTAGGCTTACCCTGAAAATGCCTATTTTTAAAGGGCTCTCTATATTGGGAGTGTTTCACGACTAAGGTTCAAATATTTTAAGGCTCTCTATATTGGGAGTGTTTCATAACTTAGGTTCAAATAATTTTCCATAAGTTTAAATACATCTAGTATAAGCCTCAAAACTTAATACATATATATTTTATTTATGTCCGATAGAATCTTGAAATTTTAAAATTTATAATATTTACGAACCCGTTAAACATATGGAGGTCAAAACATAAGTTTAGTTCTAAACTTTCAAATTTGTATTTAAAAGATTCTTGCAATTTAAAAAGTGTATAATAGGTTTTAAACTTCCAATTTTATGTCTAATAAGTTTTTAATTTTTTAATATGGTGTGAAAATATTATTTACATATTTGAATTTTTTCAACCATAAATAAGACTGATTGAACTATTTTACGGTTTCCTTTCTTGTTTCTTTCAAAGGTAAATTCAGTTATTGTTCGTTTATTCTTTTCACTGTAAACAAGATTATTGTGTTCTTGGTTCTTTCTCCTTCACGGCTGCAAAGTAAAGACTCATAGATTAATAATAGCTTACAAACTTCACTCATTCACTCTAGGCTCTTTCTCCTCCAAGGCTGCAAAGTAAAGACTCATAGATTAATAATACTGTACGAACTTCACTCATTCACCTTGAGCCTGATTGAACATATATATTCTTTCAATTTATTCACCTTGAACCGTTCGAACACATATATTCTTTCAATTTAAACTGAGTCTCACGGTCAATTCTTTTTAATCACCCTTCCCTAGGGAAAACATGCTTACAATTAAGTTTTATATCTAATAAAAACTTTGATAATTACGTAATGAATTTAAAATTTAAACGACAAGTTACCTTGATAATAACGTAATAAAAACTATGGCATCCAAAAGTAAATATAAACTACAAATTACCTTGATAATAACGTAATGAATTTAAAATTTAGAATAGGGTAGTGGGCCCAATTGCAAGGCAAATGGACTTTTGCTTTTGGGCCATCAAATTTGTCGGCCCATTAAGATTCTTCAAGTTCCCACATCGCCCAAGTCAGGAAGTAGGACACGAGTTCAAGGTATAAAGGGGTGTCTCGTAGAGTTGAGGATGGCACGGAGCCGGGCGGTGGACACAGAGCGAACTATTCTTTCGCCTTTTACTAAAGAATACCGTGTGCACGCCGCGCGCACCGGCATACGCCTATTTTTGGAGGAGTTTCTCTTTGTTGAGAAATTCCAACAATCCAGACTAAATTCTTACCTTTTTTGTTGCTTCTATACATGACCGGACTCCATAGTGTACAGACACTTCGAGAGCCTTTAGCATGTCACTTAGTGTATAGGGCATAACAGTTGAATGTGAGCCTTTAGCATATCTCTTAGTGTAGGGCATAACAGTTGAATGTCTAGTTGAGGATGTTCCATGATGCCATCTCAAAATTCAATCTTGATCTATGAGTCTGGACTTTTTGGATATCCATCAATTCAGGTACTCTTTGATATCCATCAATTTAGGTACTATTGATATCAATTTAGGTACTATTGAGATTGAAGCCCACGTGTTCAATCGACTCATTTATGCATATTATGTTGGAGCATAATCCTATATTTCAACCTCCAACTCAAGGGACTGAACCGTGCCCCCAAACACATTCCCTAAGAAAAACGCTAAGAACACACGTCTTGTAACGTTCGCCCACATCTTAATACACACATGCGGGAGGAGGTAGCTCACTTAAACCATGAAGCCCAAGGATAGTGGAGAATCAATATCATGTCTCCCTATTGTTTATTTTAAGTTACTTTTGGTTTGGTAGAAGTGGACATCATTTTGATGATGAGCTATACACCGACGTGAAACGTTCGTCTGGTGTTCGATAGACGTTAAATTTGACGAGTTTCAATCTTTTGTTTATACAAATCTCACAATGTAATCACGAGTTTTGAGGTTATGGTCTAGGCTCCACCTAACCCTAATCAAGCTTGTCTTTGACAAAGCACACTCTTAATTATACTTGCTTACACCTTAGCCCAATTTTGTTCACTATTCTTAATATGTTAGATGATGCATCATGTCACTTATCTTTCTTGATCCTCACTTGGTTCGATAGGCACCACTCTTGTATTGTCTTCTATTTGTCTGCACGTGAGAGTCATAACTTACTCTTTTCTTTAAACGATTGCGACATTTAACTTAACTTTGACACTAATTAAAGTGAGGTATGCATGTCATTTATGGTTATTAAACGACCATACATCATCTTTTCTCAACCAGCGTTAAGGAAGATGACTAACACAGGGAGTGGTGGCTACATTTCATTCTCAAATGCCGGAGAAGAAAAAGCCAGATGGAGCGCATGGCTAAAATGTCTATATATATATATATATATATATATATATAATACTTGGCGTATAATAATATATACATACAAATGAATGTATCAATAAGGCATTGTAGTATAAACATATAAATGAATACATTAACTATTTTTAAAATAATCTATTAAAATCTGGCTCTATTGTTCTATTTGCTATTTTGGTCAATATTAGATAATTTTATTGAAAATTATTCAGTTTTTGTGTTTTCTAAAAGTTTGGGAGCTTCCCTCAATAAATTTTATTGAACATATATTAATTTGATATAGTAATATGTGATTAATTTAAATTCTAGAATAAGTGTAATTGGCAAATGGACTTTTGGTTTGGGCCTTCAAAGTGGTCGGCCCATTAAGAATCTTCAAGTTCCCACATCGGCGAAGTCAGAAATTGGTACACGAGCTTGAGGTATAAAATGGTATCTCGTGGCTTCGTATGAGACACGGAGCCGGGCGGTGAACACAGAGCGAACTATTCTTTCGCCTTTTACTAAAGAATACCGTGTGCACGCCGCGCTCACCGGCATACGCCTATTTTTGGAGGGGTTTCTTTTCAGTAAGATACTCCCACAACTCAGTTCAATTTTTTCCCTTTATTTTTTTAAATTTAAAGTTGGTTTTAATTGTTCAATGCTGACATTTAAATTGTTCTCTAAATGTCAGACATCTTATTTTTACGTTTTTATCATTTTCTGTTAAATAGATCCAATTTCTATTAGATTCTCTTTATTTGTTGAATCCGGAATCCTGACCCTGTTATGTATTATGTTCGATTCAAGGATTATATATATATATATATTTATATTTATATATATATCTAAAATTGGATGTGTTCTTTTTTATATTTAATATATTTGATATATCAAATATTAATTTTAACATTTTAAAATTTTATTTCAATTAAATTTAACAATACCATCTAATAGATTTTAAGAACCAATAAAATAAATTTATCAATTTCTATTCCTTAATTTGTAAGGTTCTATAGAACCAGTTACAGAGTTAACTCTATAGACATAACTCTCTATAGTTATGTTAACTCTTTAACTCTTATAGCACCTATGTAACATAGAGTTAATGTTACAGAGTTAGTTTGTCTGTGACATTAACATAGAACTACATAGAACCAGTTACTACATAGAACTCGTTGAATTTATTTTTGAATTTATTAATATAATCATTCCATGCAAGTGATCGTTTATCATTTATGATTGTTCGTAAATACGGTTAGGTATTAAGTCAAAAATCCGTTTTACTTATGTAATTATATCTTTCACCTTAAATATCAATTCCCTAATATGAAAATCAGTACCTAACAAAACTACTAGGTGCATAATAATATTAATAACCTCTAATAAATTTTATTGAACATTATTAATTTGATAATAATAACGCGATTAATTTAAATTTTAGAATAAGTGTAATAGGCGAATGGACTTTTGTTTTGGGCCTTCAAAGTGGTCGGCCCATAAGATTCTTCAAGTTCCCACATCGGCCAAGTCAGAAATTGGGATACGAGCTTCAGCTATAAAGGGGTATCTCGTGGCAACGTCATAGTCACGGAGCCGGGCGGTAAGCACAAAGCGAACTATTCTTTCGCCTTTTACTAAAGAATACCGTGTGCTTGCCGCACTCACCGGCATACGCCTATTTTTGGAGTAGTTTCTTTTTATTTAGAAACTTCCATAACTCCCAACCCAATGATTCTATTTTGTTCTTATTATCATCATTTGTAAAATAAATGAATTTTATATTTTCATTTTTCTTTTTAAAGTATCTTAAGACTAAAGTTTCAGTCTTTATCAATTACTATTTATCTAATAATCTAAGGCTATATTATAATTTTATTGTTTAAAGTGAAATATTTTAAAAAAATAAAAATAAAAATAAGAATAATATATATAAATGAATAAAATTTAAATGGAGAAAATGTAAACTAAAGATTCACAAACTAGACTAATACATGCTATTCGGTTCAGAGAGTTAGATGCTTTCGGCTATCTTGTTATCTAGGGTGCAGTACTCCACCGCTTCGCCTAGCAGCACGACGTTTGTATTGCTCTCCCACAACCTCGTTTTTACAGTTTAGGTTTCTCCCATTTTGCCCGCCGCTACTACAAGAAATGCTTTTGTTTTCTTTTCCTCTCTATTAAAGTTGTAATGCATAAAAGATCCGAAAAAGACAAGACATACATAATGTAGAAAATACCAAAAATCATCTCCATTTGACATAACTTCGGTAAATCACTTGAGCTGAGCTCTGATACATTTTTTTTTTTTTGTCATGAGCTAGATTATGAGCTATTGCACCTCCATAAAAAAAAGAACCAAACGATGCAAAAAAAAAAGTTAAGTTTGAAGTGCGATATAAATTGAATATTTCTTTTTTGAAACTATAAAAAGACTGAAATTTATAATAAATATTAAAAAAATGTGAAATATTTAATTCATTAATTTAAATATTTTTTAAAAGAAATATTCATTAAAATGTAACAGGCTAATAAAAATGTTAAATAGGAACTTCTTGATTTCTTAATTTATTTTTACATCTGTAGATTAACAAAAATGTAAGAAATAAATTGAAAAAAAAAAAAGAGTATATATTGTAACCAAATTCTCTCATTTAAACTTTTTTTTTTTAATTTAAAAAAACAATTTTCTTATTTAAACCTTTTTTTAAAATAAAGGAAAACTTAAAGCTGATCAAAGCTCAAACCGACGTCGTTTATGACGCTCGTCTTGCCATTTCTCCCCCTTCTCACTTTCACTGTGGATTTGTCTTGTTGAAGAAGAAATTTGAGAAACCCTTGCTTCTTCATTTCTGACCCATTTGTTCACCAAAGATCTTGTGCTTTCTCCCAATTTGAGGTTAGATCCACTTGGACTAAAGATTTATTTCTTATTTTTTCGTTTCTCCACCAGAAATTGTGTGGATTTACTTGTAAAGTTTGTGGGATTTTCATACAGAACTTGCGAAGATGACCCAAGACGCCGAGATGAAAGAGATTCCTGCTCCATTGTCATCTTCTACCTCTTCAACTTCCCCCTCAACTCTGCAGCGTAATGTTTTTTCTACCCATACTCTCAATCTTGCTTCTGGCTTTGTTTGTTTGAATGCGAATCTTTACTGGCGTTTAAGGTTTTGGGACAGCTTTCGAGAATTTGTGTTATATTTTTAGTCTTTAGGGCTGTATTCAATCCTTAAGAGTTCTTGGTTTTGAAATTTATTCGTGATTTCTTTCAATCAGATTTGAAAGAGATTGTGTCGCTTATTGAGACTGGTGCCTATGCCCGGGAAGTTCGGCGTATTGTTCGTGCCATTCGTCTGACTATGGCGCTGAGGCGGAAGTTGAAGGCTTCTGTTCTTTCTCAATTTCTGAATCTTGTTCTTCCGTCAGGGTCCGAGGTGTACTCTATGTTATCGTCCTTTCTTCCCAAGGTACTTAGAAATTCTTTGGAAATATTGATTTTCATCCGAATAATGCAATTTTAGTTTTGTTATTGGTTACGGAGTGGGTTTGGTTAGTGTAAAGGTTTCGTCCTGGTGCTAGTGTTCTGAGCATTAAATTTTTTGTATAATTTCTTAGGAGGAAGACTGTGAAATGGGTGTTGACTCGGGAACGCAAGCACCTACCAAACACCCCTTGCCCGAGATAGAGATATTTTGCTACTTGATTGTGCTAATCTTTTTGATTGATCAGAAGAAATATGACGATGTAAGCCATAAGGATTTATGCAAAGGAATTATTGTTTTTCTTATTTTGTCCGGTTGTCCTGAGCGCTTCCTTGATATTTTCAGGCTAAGGCTTGTGCTTCAGCAAGCATTGCACGGCTTAAGAACCTAAATAGGAGAACAGTCGACGTGTTGGCTTCCAGGCTCTACTTCTATTACTCCCTCAGCTACGAACTCAACGGTGATCTAGCTGAAATAAGGGGGTGAGTTTATCAACTAAGATTGTAATTGGTTTATTATAGTTGACTTTATGCATCTGTATGATTCTAATTCAGAGAATACAAATGAGGTTGAGTTTGAAACTGTATGGATTTCTTTATTGAACGTAGATATTCGTCTAATAACATAAAAAACTTTGATTTACAGCAACCTCCTAGCCTTGCATCGCATTGCAACCTTGCGCCATGATGAATTGGGTCAGGTAGTTCTTTATATCTTTGCAGTGCATACTACCATGACTGTATTATGGTACCTTAATGTGTGGACAACAATGTTATGTAGGAAACCCTCCTTAACCTACTACTTCGCAATTACCTCCACTATAACCTTTATGATCAAGCAGAGAAGTTGAGGTCCAAGGCACCACGATTTGAAGCTCACTCGAATCAGCAGGCAAGTTTGAAGTGCTCTAGTCTTTAATTTTTATGTTATCTTTTTCTTTATTCCAAGTAAATAAGTACCTGTGGACTTAAAAATCTTTTCATCAGATCTTAGGCAGCATTCTTTTCTGTAGAAATGCTGGTAACAATGTAACTTGTCTACTATTTAAATAGATTAGGCAATTTAATTTTGAAATTGCTAGTTAGAGTGCTTTGCTATATGCTTCTTAAATTTTAGATAATATAGCAGTTTTGTAGAATATTAATAATTAGGAATCAAGAGTCATATTTTGAAATTTTTTGTGATATTTTGCTGGGTTAGATTTCCTCATTTTTTTTAGAATTAGAATTTAAGTTGTAAGCTACATATAGCATAATGATTCGTTATTACAGTTCTGTAGGTACCTGTTTTACCTCGGCAAGATCAGGACCATTCAACTGGAGTATACCGATGCAAAGGAGTCGCTTCTGCAAGCTGCTAGGAAAGCACCTATTGCAGCACTTGGTTTTCGAGTGCAGTGTAACAAATGGGCAATCATTGTTCGCTTGTTGCTGGGAGAAATCCCCGAGAGGACTGTTTTCATGCAGAAAGGCATGGAAACAGCTCTGAGGCCATACTTTGAACTTACAAATGTAAGTTTTATTGGTCAAATTTGTACTTTCCAGTTATTTCTTCCATGAAAAGTTCAAAGTTTGTGATGCATCATTTCTTTTTACTTGTTACAAAAATGCAATTGAAAAGTTGTTTTCTTCTTACAAAGGTGTAGTTTTGGTAGGCTCTGGTGATCAACGTACCTCGTAGGAAGAGGTTGAGGGATGCGGGGAATCTTGTGCTATCGATGTGTAGGGGAGTCCTGTTAGTGGGACACATGTTAGTTACTCATATTTGTGACTACGTGAATAGGTAGTTATATATATAGATAGATGGAGAACATAGAGTTATCCTTGAACAAGTATGGTTTTGGTCTGAATTTTCTGAAGTTCGATGTCAAGCCAAGATAATGGTTGTATAAACTGCACTCTTTTATTAAGAACGCTGTTCTTTTCAGGCTGTGAGGATTGGTGACTTGGAGCTTTTCAGAACCGTTGCAGAGAAGTTCTCTAGTACTTTCAGCTCAGATCGAACCAACAATTTGATCGTGAGGCTGCGACATAATGTCATAAGGACTGGGCTTCGCAACATTAGCATTTCGTATTCACGTATTTCTCTGGCTGATGTTGCTAAAAAGCTGAGATTGGACTCTGCAAATCCTGTTGCTGATGCTGAGAGTATTGTCTCCAAGGCAATCCGAGATGGAGCAATCGATGCAACAGTCGATCATGCGAATGGATGGATGGTATCGAAGGAGACCGGCGATATCTACTCAACAAATGATCCTCAAATTGCTTTCAACTCAAGGATTGCATTTTGCCTGAATATGCATAACGAGGCAGTTCGTGCTCTTCGGTTCCCGCCAAACTCGCACAAAGAGAAAGAAAGTGCAGAGAAAAGGAGAGAAAGACAACAGCAGGAGCAAGAACTTGCAAAGCACATTGCTGAGGAGGATGATGACGACTTCTAGCTTATTGAATTTGGGAGAGACGGTATGAATCAATCTTTTGGTGCATTAGTGAAGTAAAATACAATTTTATTCAGAATTATTCTATGCGTTGGTTCAGATTTTCTTTTATCATCAAATGTTCTTGTCTGTGATGGCGGCTACAACTCTTTTATTTGTGGAATGTTCTTGAGATGCCCATCTTATAATGAATTACGCTTCTAAATTGTTACTCAAGCTTTGGGATTGCATTCTCATGTGCAACCTCAAAATTTGCTGGGAAGAAGATTGTTGTTGCTATTTGATTTTACTTTTACTTTTACTTTCAATGGATGGTTTTTTTTTTTTTTTTTTTTTTAAATATTCATATCAAATTTGAATTTAATGTTAGCTTTTATAAAAAAAGATTTTTCGATTTGCGATTTAATTATTAATCCACAATAAGTATTTTTTTGATTATCTAATCTCCCAAAACTCTTGGAATGAAAGATTTTAAGAATATATATTGAAATTGTGTTAATTTTAAGTTTAAATGAATAAATGTGTTGAATATTTTAACATTTACCTTTTTAAAAACAAAGATTAAAATAAATGATTGAATAATTTGAGTTCATTATTTAAGAGTTATTTGTTAACAAAATAATAATAATAATAATAATAATAATAATAGAAAAAATAAGTTGAACCTAAAAGCATGGTTCCACCTGATTCAACCTAATCCAATTTAATAAAATTCTTAAATTTCAATGGTGCCAACATTAAAAAATTTGAAAATTTTTATTTATGAAAACTAAAATAAGCAAAATGACAAA